AGAAAGTGAGTGCTATAAATCGCGAGAGAGCGTCAAAACCCGCATATCCATACAAAAAAGGGCGTTTGGGATATGCTCGCTTAGAGGAAAAAAATTGTAAGTAAATATAAACTCTACGATCTTATTAATTATCTCAATGTGTTATATAGTTGATGATCTTAAGACCTTTGTTATTGCGTAGTTAGAAGAGACGAAAAGTGACGCAACATCACTACCGACACATTTGTTGTGGAAGGAAGCCCGTGTGGGCAAGGATCAAGCTGTTAATCCCGATATTCAACATGTGTATGATGAATGTGTAAGTATAAGATTGTGTCTTTAGTTAAATCACCACTAATAATTTTTATCTCCACTAATAATTTTTTATATGTAATTGAATTACAGGAGACCTTGTCCCAATCAGTATCCCCAGGTGAGGATCCTCACGATACCAGGAGCGTACTTAGTCGAGCACTAAATATTGCTGAGTATCCGGGTCGGGTGAGGGGTAAAGGTCATGGTGTGACTCCAACCTCTTTGTATAAGCATCCAAGGAGAAGAAATCCTAGCAATGCAGAAGTGATGCAAACATTGCAGGATTTACAAGCTCAAGTTCGTGAATTGCAGAAGGATAAAGAGAGATATGTGGCGGAAAAGAGCAGTTCACACTTGAAAGAAACTAGTGACAAAGCTAGTATCAACTTTCAGCATAAATTTCCCGAGGTAATTTTCAATATATATCCGTTATTACTATAGAACATTTTTAGTCACTTCTAACGGTTATTATTGGTTTAGGGCATTTCATCTTGCCAGCTATACCTATCGTCACCGACTTATCGACTAGTTGGCAAGGGAAAAGTCCATAACAGTTCGGGAGATTTACTTCATAATAGACCGCTTCCGGATGGTCACATGAAAGTATCGGTTGACATTGCTTTAGATATGGATGCATTGCTGCCGATACCTGACATTGTTGCTGAGACCACATTGCTGCGAAATGCAATTGGATCTTTTGTTGCATGGCCATCCGACCTCATTTTCATAGATGATCAGGTATGTTGAAAAAAATTATGAATCTTTAAGTCTTCAACTGTCAGTTCTGACCTCAGTTATTTCCACGGTAATTATAGACTCCTACAACACCCGCATCTAAGGGTAAAGGGATTTTGCGGCACGACGAGTCTGACGTATCACCAAAAGAGGTACGTTTAAAGTGTTAATTATATGATCCGAATAAAAAACTGCATAATTTTATAATTTAACCGAGTTTATATGATTTTTAGGTACCTTTTCATGGGTCACAACAAGTGAGCAAGAAAATCGTTGGCGTACCACCCAAGAAAAGGGTGCCTACTAGATTTTTCCCTCGATACCGCCAGTGTCTTGAAACAATAGTGGGAACAACAAATTTGATGGATGGTGGTATTCGTCAAATTGATATGGATCGAGGTATTTTTGGTTTTCCTTGCACAGAAATAATTGGACATGAGGACGTGGAACAGATTTTCCGTCATAAAGAATTGGGCGTCAGTATTATGCACGCATACATCCGGTAACCCCATCTTTATATTATGTAATTAGCTGAAATCTTTTTTAAACATTTTCAATGAATATACTCTAATATTAATTATGTTTCTATTTAAGGATGTTATATGACAAATTGATGCGCGGGAATCAATTGTCAAACAAATTCCATTTTGTGTCTTCCTCCCGTGTCAGCGGAGCGACAATTGGTAGGGAACCAGATTCAGTAAGAGAGCACTTAGTCGAAAGATTCATGGCAACTGGCAGTACAGAAAGCTTATATCTTTGGGCGTATAATACTATTCCTACAGGGTTAGATTTTCATTCTAAATTCATTTTAATATTTGTAATTTTTGCGTAGAAAAATTTCTTCTAAACTGTTGTTTTAATTTATAGACGTCACTGGTTGTTGGTTGCTATCGATCCTATAAAAGAAGTGGTCTATTATCTGAATTCGGTTGACGGTGATTGGACAAATTATCCGGATATGAAGTTAATGATTGATACGTAAGTGAGATTATTCTAAATATTTATGTGTATTTATGTATTTAATTATTTCTGTGACATTGTTCTAAATATATATTTTTAATTTTGTTAGAGCGATACAAGTATTCCGGTGTCAAAGAGAAGCTCGGGTACGACGGTCTAAATCAAACAACATTAATTGGATCAAAGTGCAGGTATATTAATTTCCACTATTTTGCTTATAATATTTACGCTATTTGATAAAACAATACAACTATATATTCTTATTTGTTTTTCTATGTAGTGTCCTCAACAGCGAAACGGTATAGATTGCGGATACTTCGTTATGCGGTTTATCAAAGAAATCATTCAACTGAATCAAATAGAGATTCCAGTCACGGTATGAATTTATAACTTAGAATTTGTTTTATTATTTCTCGGATATTCCATATAATTTTTTACTTTTAACTAAATCATGCATATTATGTTTTCTTATGTAGTACTTCGATGAGTACAAATGTGCATATTACACGAAACTTCAGTTGGAAGAAACCAAAGAGGAGTTGTGCCAATATTTTATTGAGCAGAGAATAATATAAGGACTGGTTTAGTTGTTGTTAGAGTTGATTTTGTAAGACTGACTTTGAGTTAGAATACAGGTAACAATGGTTTATATATAATTTGAGATACAAACATAATTTATGATTGATTTTGAGCAATGATAGTTTCTTGTTTATGGTTTCTTGTGTTATACTTGTGTACTAAAGTAGTTGATAGAATAAAATGAATTTAGTGAAAAGTATTGAGTATTGGTTTTGTTATATTGAGTATTGGTTTTGACTCAGAAACCGTAAACCATGGATAAGACATGGTTGTATTCCAATCGATTGTCGAAAGAGTACGAGAACGGGGTATCGGAATTACAATGCATTATCCCTATTTATGAATTACAGGTTATGGCAAACAATGCAGGTATATGAATGATATAAATAATACCTCTAAAAAAAACCACCCTATGAAAGCGCTTTTTGGAGAAAAGCGCTTTCATAGGTAGACCTATGAAAGCGCTTTTTCACATAAAGCGCTTTCATAGGTAGACCTATGACAGCGCTTTTCCAAGAAAAAGCGCTACTAAAAGACAACCTATGAAAGTTTTTTTCCAAAAAAAACGCCACCAATGAAAGCGCTTTTTCATAAAAAAGTGCTGCCAAAAGCCTACTTAAGAGAGCGCTTTTTAGAAAAAGCGCTGCCATAAGGGTACTAAAGAGAGCGCTTTTTAGAAAAAGCGCTGCCATAAGGGTACTAAAGAGAGCGCTTTTTAGAAAAAGCGCTGTCATAAGTAGACCTATGAGAGCGCTTTTCATTAAACAAAAAGCGCTGCTAAAACCTTTAGCAGCGCCACCTTAGAAAGCGCTTTTAAGCGCTTTTAAAGGCCAAAAAAAGCGCTTTCGTAGGTCTTTTTTGGCGTAGTGTTGGTATAAAACGTGTATCCATTAATTGTGTATGCGCTATAAGAAAACACGAGCAAACTCGTACCATATGCTAAACATCTCAACCTTTTTGTTATTGAAGCGGGATCTAAATCAAACTTTGAATAAATATGATCTTTGAACCATTGTAAAAAACTTTGACTGTGCTCTCATACAACCCAATTTTCATTTCCATTCGGATTTAAACCCCGAAGTACATCCTTGTGCATTTCAACATACGGCTCAACCTCATTGTCAATGTGTAGAACATATAAATGCACTTGATCCCGTTCAACCCTTGATATTGTCACGATTTTATTTCCGATTAAATTTATTCCTTCCTTCCTCTCTAAAATATGAGATTTTGGTAGTCTAATAGATTGAATATTAGTCAAATATTCAGTACAAAACTCAACTTCTTCTTCAACAATGTATCATTCAACCATACAACCTTCTGACCGACTTTGATTTTTCACGTACCCTTTTAATATTTTTATATAACGCTCAACAGGGTACATCCATCTCATATAAGCCGGTCCACACAATTGTGTCTCTTTCACAAGATGAACAAAAAGATGTACCATAATGTCAAAAAATGAGGGAGGAAAATATATTTCAAGCTCGCACAAAGTAATAACTATTTCTTTTTGCAATATTAGTAAGATCTCAGGATCGATCACCTTACTACAAATTGACCGGAAGAAAAAACACAATTTAGTTATGGCGCTTCTTATTTTTTCTGGAAAAATAGAACATATACCTATTGGTAGAAAATGCTCCATTATAAGATGGAAATCATGTGTCTTTAAACTCTTTAACTTGAGGTCTTTTAAAGACACGAGTCTTCTAATATCTGAAGAGTAACCTTCTGGAACTTTAACTTCACTTAGAAACTTACATAATATTTTTTCTCCTTTTTAGATAAAGTATAAGCAGCAGGTGGCATATATGTTTGTGTTCCTTTCTTCATGGGTCCTAATTCAGTTCTTATTCCCATCTCTATCAAGTTCTTTCTTGCTTTAAGGCCATCCTTAAACTTTCCTTGTATATTAGTAACGTACCAATACATAAAGGATGAACAAAAACAAAACAAAAAATATAGTAAACATGTGCTTAGTTTTACTTTTAGTTTTAAAAATAATTGATTTATAAATATCAACAATGTTAATACATAAATATAAAAATATTGTTGCTAGGAATTGAATCCTAGATCAATGTTTTAGATCTATTTAACTCAACTAGCACCCAAATGAACTGGTAAATATGTGTTTAGTAATATTTAGAAAAAACTGTTTTATGAATGTTATTAAAATGACTAAATATATGTAATACTGATTATATAAATTGAGAATGATACAGAAGCATACAGGTATATAAACATATACCATTACTCACAAGCCAAACAGTCACACAAATCAAACTTAATACTCTTCTAATAAAAAAATTCTCAATAAACAATCAACATATTTAGAAATTTTTTAGAAAATATAAAATATTTGGCACACTTATATATTAAACAATAAATCTGTCTTTATCCTTCTTGTCCATCCATCATTGTAATATTCAGGAGTTGTTGACTTTTCTGCAATTGCACCTTATCTCACCCTTTTTCCCAGTAAGAGGCTTCAAGTTACCCATCTTGATCATAGAAACTCCAAAATCTTTAGCAAAAGCATAAGAGTCTTTGCTATATTTCAGCACCAATCTATCACTTTGAGAACCATCACCTTTGAAAAGCTCTTGATCAGAATGAAGGAGACCCTTTTTGTACAACAAAGCCTTATAGTATGCTGTGTCAACTTTTTTTGGAGTAGAATCAAATGGTGCTAAGCTGTTGTCGCCTCCTATTCGAGGACATGTTTTCTGTAAATTGGCTGCAAAAGTGGCGTCTATGTTGGTGTCATTGAAGATCCTGTCTCTAAAAGTAGTGCATCTGGCAAGTCCAATTGTGTGGCCACCAGATAGAACAACTAAGTCTTTAAGGTTTAGGCCATGAGAATTGAAATTTGTGATGAGTTGTGAGAAATTGAAAAATGGAGGTGGAAGATTTGCATTTGCAGCATCCCAGCTTGCAGTTCTTGCATCTCTTCTTCCTAGCAACACTTGGTACCAATATTGGTTACCACCCAACTGTTAATAGATACAAAATATGTTATCTGTAGAGTTACATACTAGTATTCTACTAGAAAAAGTTGAATTAAAAACCAAAAATTATAGAAAAGAGTAAAGACTTACTATGGCTACAGAATCTCGAGCCGCTATGGCTAAAATATCTGCGCATGATACAACATCACGTGTGCAAGCTTTGGTAACTGCAGCTTTAATTTGATCAACAAGTTCAAAACCTCTAATTGAATTGATATTTGGAAATGCAGTCTTCTCACCACGGAAGGTAGGAGTGTCATCTAGAAGAACTGATCCATCACAACCCTGTAGTGTAACATGAATATATCTTGATACTATTTAATGGCACTAGAAAAATGTATCATGAATTGATATGAAGTAACTTACGTTAACAAAGCAATCGTGGAAATGCAAACGCAATAATGAAGCTCCAATGCGTGGCTCACGATAAATTGCTTGCTTAACAGCTAACTTTATGATTGGCAATGCCTTAGGACAAATTCTGTCATAATAATTAGGAGTCAGCTTTGCAACGGTAGGGCTCAAAACTGTTGCCAAAGTGACCATGAAAGTCACAAGATAAAATTGGATACGAGAATCCATTTTACTATATGCTTGTATGACACTTAAATTTGAGGCAAAATATGTTGTTTTTGTGAGTATCTAGGTATAGAGGAAGGATTTATATAGAATGAAAATTTAGCAATGATGAATAGAAATATAGCAACCAGGGTATAGTTTATTAACTTGTTAGAGTTGTCAACATATATAATATATTAATTAATTCATAATGTGCAAGCAACTTATATGTGCTCGCCAGCTAGATACCGTTGACCCAAAAAAATCATCTAAGAATTGCTCAAACATTGCAACCTTTCTAGCCACCTCTTTCATTGTATATAGAAATGATATACATATGTTGATTTTTGTTTTGTTTTGTTTTTGTACTTGAGTTAATCCTACTAGAGGTGTGGATTTTGTTCTATTCTTAAAGATTGCATCTTGACAAGACATTTTGTTACTCTTGCCTTTGTTTATGATGGTTCTTTCCATTACTTAATAAATAGAGATTCAAGGGTTTGTCACTACAAAAAAAAATAATTGTTATTTTGCCAAGGGTTTATGCAAGTGGCAAAACCTTCTTGGATAAAAACAGTTACAAAGGAAACCACCAAAATATGAAGAAAAAAATGTCAGGGTTTACCCTTCGAAAAAGTTTGAGGAGTAAATTCCAAATTTGAAATGGTCATTGTGTGAGAGATAATCCTTCGGAACTTATCAAATTTAAAAATTAAAATTTTCACATACGAGGAGACATCCGTCATACATAGAAAACGAAAAATTAAAAAAAATATATATAAAAAATAATTCTTAGGATTCCATGATAAATGTTTTAAAAATTGGATCGAATCGGTCAGTTCAATTGGTTGGACCGTGAATCAGAGATGAATTCAATTGAGTTAATCTTTCAAAATAGTCAGTGGGTCAAAACCGGAGTAGAATTGAAAAAATCGGATTGAACCGTCTAAAATTATTTGAACCATAGAATCGGAGCCGATTTTCTAAAACCGCCTGGTTCAAAAAAATGCATCAAATTGATCATTTTTTATTTTTTTTTGAAAATTTAATATGAAAATATCAAAAGTTAACATAATTCCTCAATCACAAAAAACGAATTTCGTGTTTTTTTTACAAACATACAAATTTTTAAGTTTTATCATTCCGTTATAATTTTTCTTTCAACCACATTCCATCATATGTTTGTCGTAGTTCAACTCGAATTTGTTTGTTGTTCTGTAATTAAGTATATTGTATTATTTATTTTTTTGTATTCTATCTTTTAATTTAGGTATTTTTAATTATTTGAACTTTATTTTTATTATTATCTTCTATTATTTTACTTTTGAATTAGTTTAACTTATTTTAGTGTAATTCTTTAATTTGTTAAAATTATACTTAAATGAAGGTTGAAATAAAGTGTACAACTAAATTATACTTAAATGAAGGTTGAAATAAAGTGTACAAGTTAAATGAAGGTTAACCATATTTTATACGTTGAGGGAGAATCGATGACTAAATATCTTACTTTGACTAGTTTGGTGTTTTCTTCCGCTCCAAAGGTGGTCTACGGTGTTATGTAGTCCTTAACCTATACTAGCTCGCCAGAAAAATCCACCAATGATCCCTAGACGGGTTTTAGGTCATCCCAATCTAGGCGGAGTCTCTCAATTGCATCCCACTAGACAAAATCTAAGGAGCTTTATTGATCACTCAAGACTCTTTTAATTTCTCAATTATCGCATCAAATAGTGATAACCATGGGATTATTTTTGTGCGAGTGAATTTCATTTGCATCCTTCTCGAAAAAGGTTATCTTGGCTTTTGGAGCTTGTAATTTTCCTACCATAGAATAAGGGGGAGAACCATCAACAATTAGGATTTGGTAGGCATATCTCTTCCGAACAGAAATGATCTCTCTGCCTCTAGTGAATCTTCGTATGATGGCGTTAAGGGTATGTCGAATGGATTTGTCCCCGCCTCCCTTAGTTGGATTTTTCCCTTTCTTATTTCCTGGACTATCCAATGAATCTAACCCTTTAGATTTGGACTCGCCAAATCCTCTAGCTGAGTTTCCCTTGACGTATTTATTTAGGTTCCCCTGTTGGATGAAACACTTTATCTTCCTCTTGAATTGGTTGCAGTCTTCCATTTCATGCCCCTTTACCTTATGGAACTTGCACCAAATGTCAGGATCAGGTCCCAAGACGCCCATCTTGGGAGTTGGCAGCTAAGGTGTGGTATGCATGTGTAAAAATTCTTGTCATATGTTCTCTCGGTGGGCCTTTAGGGGAGTGAAGCCTCCGGTGGATTTTCCACTTTGTTTGAACGATTTTCTTCCCTTCATAGGTGATTTGTATAGGTTCCCTTGTGATATGTTTGTATTAGAAGTGTGTTCTTTTGCATCCTGAACCTTCTTTTCAGCATTACTTTCCTCGCCTTTGATGTAACATTCTACTCGTGTTACTACTTTAGCCAAGGACATTACTGCCCATCTTATGATCTTGAAATTTATCAAAAATTGTAGCCAAGTCCACGGATGACAAATCCCTAGATTCGAAAATTGTAGCGAATTTGGGTTTCCACCTTCAGTTTAAGCATCTAAGGACTTATAACGCTTTTCTTGATGAAACTTACACCTCGAACAATGAAAAACAAGGGTATAGCTCCTGGGAGCAGCATGTTTTATTATTATTATTATTATTATTTTAACAAAAAAACATTAGACCTAGGATATTTAATAAAAATGAGGGAAAGTAGCAATAAGGGAACTCGCTTCGACACCCAGTTGCTGCATTTTATGTGTTTTTTCAATTATGTGATCTAGGATTCAAGGTCAACTTCACCAAGTCTGAATGTCTTGTAACTAATGAAAAACAAGAAGTTGTAATGAGAGGAGTCAGATCAAAAGACAACTGTTACTTATGGGAGTCTGAGAACACTAACTACTCTTCTGTGTGCTCTATAGCCAAAGAAGAAAAGGAAGTGGAACTGTGGCACCAAAAACTTACTCATTTACATCTTAGAGGGATGAAAAAGATCATATCCATGGAGGTTGTCAGAGGGATTCCAAGGCTTCAGATTGATGAAGGGAGAGTCTGTGGTGAATGTCAGGTTGGAAAGAAAACTAGAATGTCACATCCAAAGACAAGACATCTGACCACCTCTAAGGTGCTAGAACTTCTACATATGGATCTGATGGGTCCCATGCAGGTGGAAAGTCTTGGTGGAAAGAGATATGCCTATGTTGTTGTGGATGTTTTTTCCAGATTCACCTGGATAAACTTCATTAGGGAAAAGTCTGATGTATTTGATGTATTTAAGGAATTGTGCAAAAGAATTCAAAGAGAAAAAGAAGGATGCATTGTCAGAATCAGAAGTGATCATGGTAAGGAATTTGAAAATAGTAAGTTTGATGAGTTATGTTCCTCAGAAGGAATCAATCTTGAGTTCTATTCACCTATAACTCCTCAACAAAATGGAGTTGTGGAAAGGAAAAACAGGACTATACAGGAATCTGCCAGAGCAATGATACTTGCCAAGAAGCTTCCTATTCATTCTTGGGCTGAAGCTATGAATACAGCCTGTTATGTCCACAACAGGGTCACCTTGAGAAAGGGAACATCATCCACCCTTTATGAACTATGGAAAGGAAGAAAGCCTACAGTGAAGTACTTCCATGTCTTTGGGAGCAAATGCTATATTCTGACAGATCGTGAACAAAGGAGAAAGATGGACCCTAAAAGTGATGAAGGAATATTCCTAGGATACTCTACCAACAGCAGAGCATATAGGGTGTTCAATTCCAGGACCAAAGTTATGATGGAGTCTATAAATGTCATAGTTGATGATCACCATGAGGAAACAAATGTCCCATATGATGTTGAGACATTCTTTGAGACTTCAACACAAGTGTCTAAAAAGGATGATGTGCCTAATCCTACTCCATCAGAGTCTGAATCAAAGGAAGCTAACAAAGATCCTTCCATCAGAATTCAGAAAGATCATCCTAAGGAACTCATCATAGGAGATCCTAACAGTGGAGTCACTACAAGATCTAGAGAAATCATCACAAACTCTTGCTTTGTATCTAAGATTGAACCAAAAAATGTTAAAGAGGCTTTGACTGATGAATACTGGATTGGAGCAATGCAAGATGAATTGAACCAATTCAAGCAACATGAAGTATGGGAGTTAGTTCCTAGACCAGAAGGAACAAACATCATTGGCACAAAGTGGATCTACAAGAACAAGTCATATGTTGAAGGAGTTGTCACCAGGAATAAGGCAAGGCTTATTGCTCAAGGATACACTCAAGTTGAAGGGGTTGATTTTGATGAGACTTTTGCTCCTGTAGCCATACTGGAATCAATCAGACTTCTATTGGGAGTTGCTTGTCTCCTTAAGTTCAAGCTATTTCAGATGGATATGAAGAGTGTCTTCCTAAATGAGTACTTAAATGAGGAAGTGTATGTGGAACAGCCTAAAGGATTTGTGGATCCAAACTATCCTGATCATGTCTAAAAATTGAGGAAAGCATTATATGGTCTGAAACAAGCTCCTAGAGCTTGGTATGAAAGGTTTACAAAGTTCCTCACTGACCAAGGATACAAGAAAGGAGGGTTGGATAAAACTCTTTTTGTCAAAAATGAAGGAGGAAAGATAATGGTAGCTCAAATTTATGTTGATGACATAGTGTTTGGAGGAATGTCAGATAAAATGGTTAAACATTTTGCTAACCAGATGCAAGCTGAATTTGAAATGAGCCTCATGGGAGAATTGACCTACTTTCTTGGACTACAAGTCACACAGATGGAAGAATCAATTTTTCTGTCTCAAAGCAAGTATGCAAAGAATATTGTCAAGAAGTTTGGGATGGAGAATGGCATTCATAAAAGGACTCCTGCACCTACTCATTTAAAGTTTTCCAAAGACACAAGTGGGGTAAATATGGATCAAAGCTTGTACAGAAGCATGATAGGAAGTCTGTTATACTTAACAGCCAGCAGACTTGACATTGCCTTTGCAGTTGGAGTATGTGCAAG